TCGCAGTAGGCCGTAAAGTCTTGCCACCTTGTATATGACCCGACAACAAAACGGAGTGTTGATAGAAGAAAGGGGGGAGGCAAAGTACCGGACAGGCAGGCCGCAGGAGGACGGGTATTTATGAGTAAACCGTCGTAGCACTCGTCTCTTCCCTGTCGAACCTGTGCTAGGCCAGTCTGCCAGACACCCATGAAGTTCCTGTACGAATGTACTACTCGAGAAAGAAGTTCCATAGGTAAGCGGCAGTGTGACTATAGGCTTCATCCCTGGACAGTATGGCATCAGTGCATCACCGATGGAACCGGAACCGATGGGCAAGCCTTTCCTATTTACGGTTCTGTGTCTTATTTTTCGCGTACTTGGCGGATGCCGATTAGTTATGTTGGTGAGATAGACGGGTTTGTAGGAATATCAGACATCTAGCGAATATGGCCTTTTGCTTGTAGAAAATCCGTCTTTACAGACTCTCCGCCCCATTAAGAGATTATTCAGCGTTGCAAGTTCCCCGTTAAAACATTCTGTCATAATGCAATTATCCGCCGAAGAACCGCCAATTTCTGACTTTGGATTAAGACTTGCCAAGCTGGCTAGTCGGAGATGGCCAAAAGCTTATAGCTTCACGCATCTATTGTCTCATAATTCAGCTTTAGCATTGCGGCGTTGTTGTCTTTCCGTTAGGTTAGGTTAGATCGAAGCCGGTATGCAAGCGATGTAGGTAGCACCAACGTGTTCTCAACCAAAGGTCGAGAGCGGTTTGGAATGGTCTACCTAGACATGTGAGAGAGATTACAACGTGTAGACATAGGTTCATATATGCCAATGACGTAAGAGTTCGAGTGTAGTCTTTTACCAGAAGGGATACCTTACATCGCGAGCCAGCATATACCAGCAGTAAGGAATAAATCCCAAATTTTCAAAGCCGCCGATTCACCTGAGGTGTATTATATATGAATGGGCTTCAATAATCAGGGTATTATTCAATTTGGCTGCCTTGCACTCAATCTCCCTCCTAGTACCTAATTACCTATCGCATTTCCACGCGCCGAAATTCCAACAGCAGGGACCCTTGTATTTATGCAAATTTGCTGCTGCTTCTTCTTATTATTAGTAACGTTCCTACCAGGTTACATAGTGCCAACTCTGGTGGGGTTCTAGTATAAGGAACATCGAGGACATCTGAGAGGATCAAAGGCAAAAACTGCGCTTCCTTCGAATATAACTAGTCCCAGCTTGGTAGGTGCTAAACAAGAAGCCATCTGAACCTTCCTTACATCGCATTCCACCTGCACTTTTCCTTGGACTTTCCCGTAAGGCTCTCTACAAGCCACCTGGTCACCAACCACATCACGTCATTACTGGGAGGTCTTACGCGTTGGTACACAAAGATTTTCAGCCCACACTTGCACGCTCCAGGGATCTATGGGAAGCCCTACTAGACACCATTGTATCTCGCCTACTAATATCTGTAAGGATCCTTAACATCATGGTCATCATTACGCTTTAAAACCTTAGGTTAGGTCCTTACCTACCCGTCCATCAAATGAACAAGTTGTATGGTACCAGAGCTGTCAGGGCTGCCCAGGTATGTTGGACGTGTAGACAAACATAAACTTATGTATGTACGCAAGACCGAAGCTCCCGACCCTGGGCCCGAACTGCTGGATGTCGTACAGATACAAGATACCGTGCCCACCGTACTCATACATTAGCTTTTTCCAAATCAAATACCTTCCACGCACGGTGAATCCTGCAGAAGCACCTAATAACGGGTACGTGTACTGTAGTGAAAAAGAAGACAAGACGTTACTTTAAGTACCTACGAGTATTGGTTGGCAGACCCTAGGTAGCAACTGGGCCACCTAGTCTAGCCGCTCTACACGTCAAAACGTATCTTTCCTGCCGTCCTCCTTCCGTCTTCTTTCCCAGGGCATTTTCACTATCTGAGACGTCTGAGTCCTGTCCCTTCATTCGCTTACTGCGACTCCCAACCAATCTTGCCGCCGACGTTCCTTTACGCGAAAATGTCTTCCACAACGAGGAAGGAGGGCTCGTTCCCGGGCGCTGTACGCGACAACGAGATTCCAACGGCCGACACGGACTCGGACTCGCGGGATTGGTCTTCCTGGTTTGGTGGACCGCACACGGTCATCGGCCGTCGCATCGCGCCTACAGTTGCTCCCGTGGCGGATGGCACCTCGGACGACGACTCCTCCATTGGGCTCGGGAGCGACGCCATCATCCAGAAGCAGTTGGCCCAAGAGGCCGGGAGCGCCATCCAGTACCGCACTTGTAGTTGGCAGAAGACTGCCGCATTGCTGTTTTCCGAATATATTTGTCTGGTGAGTTCTGACGTAAAGCTGCGGTTTTCTGTCATGAACGAGTAATGACGCTTGTGCTCGGGGCCCCCCCACAACGGCTGGTTATATGGATGCGTCTGACTGACCGGCTCGTTCCCACATATCATAGGCCATCATGAGTTTCCCTTGGTCTTACAGCGTATTGGGCCTGGTACCTGGGTAAGTTTCCCTTGATCCCACCAGCCATCGTGCAGAGGTCGCCGGTCCGTTCCGTTCGTTCAGTCTTTTTCTAACGCGCTTCACAGGCTCATACTCACCGTCGTGGTATCGCTAATTGTACTCTATACGTATGTGTTGTCCCATGCCGGAAAAGGAACCACAATTTGTCCATTCCTATACTCGTACTCGTACTCATACATCACCGCAGTTCTCTCATCCTCTGGCAGTTCTGTCTACGGCACCCAGAAGTTCGTGATGTCTGCGACATTGGCCAGATGCTCTTCTGGAATAAAAAATGGGCTTGGTGGTTTACTGCAGTCATGTTTGTTCTAAACAACACATTTATCCAAGTCAGTCAACAGCCTTTCCCTCCCGCCCCTGCGGTTCGCTGAAGGACGCCACCTGACCATGCTTTGGCTCTTAGGGTCTTCACGTGCTCACTGGGGCCAAGTACGTGAACACATTGATTGGGGGGGACACCACGACCATTGCTTGTCAGACCGTGACCATCGGTCTCATCGTTGCTATCATATCATGGATCTGTTCGTTACCCCGTACCTTTGGTGTCCTCTCGCATTTGGGAACCGGCTCGGCCTTTTTCACTTTTGTCTCGGTCCTCTTGGCCGTTATTTTCTCCGCCATAGAGAGTCATCCGGCAGGTTATAACGCGTTGCCGACGACGGACCCCGTCACTGGAAAGGCCCTACCGTTCGGCGCACCGATCATGACGGTGATACCCTTGCCGAGCACCACTTTCGTCAGTGGCGTCAACGCCTTTTTAAACATTAGCTATACCTTCATCGGTCAAATCACGTTACCTAGCTTCATCGCGGAGATGAAGGATCCCCGGGATTTCCCCAAGGCACTGTGGGCCTGTACCATACTCGAGATCATCGTCTTCAGTATCGTTGGAGGGACTGTATATGCCTTCACCGGCAACCAGTACATGACGAGCCCTGCGTTTGGATCTTTGCAGCCCGTGTATAAGAAAGTCGCCTTCTCTTTCATGATACCCACCATCATATTCCTAGGTGTTCTGTATGCCTCCGTCTCGGCCCGTTTCGTTTTCTTGCGTGTCTTTCACAACACGCGGCACAAGAATGAGAACACGGTTGTCGGTTGGCTTTCCTGGTCTGGAATCCTATGTACGTCTTCTTCAAACCTGTTAGGGCTTTCCACCGCTTGCTGACAAAAACTTGCTAGTCATCACTTGGGTACTCGCCTTTATTATCGCCAACTCCATCCCGTTCTTCGGTTCACGTGAGCAACTCGATACCCGGATAGCCTTGGACGATCGCAGCTGACCTGTCTTCTTGTAGTTCTTTCCCTCCTGTCCTCACTCTTCGATTCATTCTTCGGTTTCATATTCTGGGGCGTGGCTTACTTCCGCATGAGAAAGGCGGATGGTGCCCTTCCATTCTACAAAGCCCGGACTTACCGAGCCTGGTTTGAAGGGATCCTAAACGTCGTCATCATCATTACAGGGGTTTTCTTCTTGACTGCTGGCACCTACGCCACTGTTCAGGGCATTATAGACGAGTACGAAGCGGGTTCAGTTGGTCGGCCGTTTTCTTGTGCCAGCAATGGCATCTAAGACGGATATTGTTTCATGAATTTCTTTTTTGGTCTTTTCGAAAACGATTGGTTTACTTACCCTGGAGATACCCGAGTTGCGGGGGCTGCCCTCTGTTTCGGAGGCGTAGCTACCCCACTCTTTACACATGTCACTCCCGTCTCTTTCAGATGAGCGGGTAGTACGCCCGGGGGCTTCACGTTAAAGTTTCGCCGGGAGGCGTCGGCGTCCGAAAAAGGGTTATCAGGGTAGAACCTGGCGCAAAGACCCAGTCATATTTTCACAGTATAGTACCTACATAATATGAAAGAGCAGGACAAGATATGAGCGTTTTAGCCGTCGGCCTATCTACAGCGCCTCGTATGAACCTACATCGCATCAAACGGATGCCATTCGTTCGTTCTATACTAACTATCTAGAGAAGGGCTTCTCGCCTGGACTCAAGGGTGTTTGATCGTCTCTGAAATGAGATGCGAATATCTTCTTGGCCCCAAGACTCCTCGACTTTCTTGGACCGCAGCACATCTATACTAACGTATCTTTTTAACCAAGCTGAGCTAATGTCATTGATAGATGTCTATACTTCCCCTTCACGATACCCATGGCCCGACAACACAACAGGTATAGTAGTACCAGTAGGTAAGGAGGTAGTTATGAGCTTGGCTGCAATTCTTTCCACCTGCCCAGAGGCGCCAAAAATGACTGTAATTCAGAATATGCATAAGATAACATCTACCTAACTAACCTGACATACCATAACCAACTACTAACTGTTCCTTTTTTTTCTTCCTTTTTCTTCCGGGCGAAATGTGTTAGATAACAGACGAATAGGGTAAAGCGATTGCTCACTCACATACAGCTGCTGTCAGGTATGTGACAAAACAAAAGGCAAAAAAGAAAATTATTGGGGATGGCTGTATCAGGAATCGAACCTGAGTCTGCTCGGTATTATAATCTTTCGTCCTAAATTGAAGAAGACCATTGTCCCCCCCGAAAGGAGGCGGGTTGACTTTCGACCACAACGAGCCGTACTGACCACTATACTATACAACCTGAACCAGACAATCGAATTGATTGGCTGAGATGTTGGATGCTGGGTTCTCGTGTAAAAATTGTTTATCAATTATATCGTTGTGTGATACTAAATTAGTTTGCTCGGTGGTTTGTGATGCTATGTGGGGTGGTTAGTATTGGGTAGGAGGCTCCTGAGGCCGGCGAAGGAGATGGAGGGGGGCGGGCCGGATGGATGGGAATCATGGGATGGGATGGGATGGGATGGATGTTTGGTTGCGATTGTGATTGTGAGGCGAACATCAAATCAATCAATCAATCGACGGAAGGGTATACAGGATTAGGTATTACTGCGTAAAAACGGCCGATTGTCCTAGAACTAGGTAGGTTACAAATTCCTAGAATCTCAGCAGATCTTACTGTTACTGAAATACATATCTGTCTGGTTGATTTTACTTAGGTCATGCATGTATGTATATAAAATATCTACATTTATTTTCGAAATATCATTAAAAGGTTAGATAAATGTAGGTTAGGTAGGTAATTATCATAAGATTCTTCCTGTATCAAACAGTCAATTGCTTCTTTCTGCTTGAAATATATATTTCAGAAAAAGAAAACAAAAAGAAAAAAACAATAAACACGCTTAGACGACATATATCAAGGGCTGCCCTGTTACCCACCCTTTTGTCCTTTTGCCTTGATTACCTTTTCTTCATCTTCATCTTCTTTACTTTCTTCAAGCTGATTGGAAAGGCACGTAAATAAGTACAATCAAAGGGGGAAAAGAGAAAAGAGAAGGTTTAACAAAAATATTTCTCTTCAAAAACGTGTAGGTAAGGCGCTAGATGTGTTAATTGAAAGAACCACCCCTCTTCGGCTTCGAGCATTTCTCTCTCCGCATCTAGAAAAAGAAAAGACAAAGTGGGATATTGTTAAAATGTGATAAGAAGCGTAAAAGGAGGGGAATCTCGCGCCCGAGATTCAAACATTCGAGAGCTTTTGTACCGTTGTTCGTCTTTGCTACAAGGCAGAAAGGGGGGTATCCAGAGAAAAAAAGAACGAGATGGCGTGCTGTGCTGGCCGGGTATTTGTATTTTTGCACCATGGCACGCAATAAATATGACAGCCCCAAACACGCCATCCCGCTAGTACAACGATGCAATGAAAAACGCAAACGCTATTTCCTCCCCCCCGCCTACACGGCTAAGAACCTCGTCGATCAAGATGAGCATCCGAATCGACACATGCTCTCTCGCGGAGATTAAGAATAGCGTCGTTGGAACATATTGGGCGGAGCGGCCACATTGGCCGAGTATAGGCGTTGCACGATGGAAAATAAAACGATCCGCCAATATTGCAAGCCTGATAGAGGCAATCGGCACTTTATCCTCCCCCTTTTATGTATTCGGCGTTTCCTCAGCTTGAGTCGTCGACACAGGCTCAGGCGCAGGCGCAGGCGCAGGCGCAGGCGGAGGAGCAGGAGTAGGCGCCAAGGTGACGGGAATCGAGGCGTCCTGAACACCTTGTGGTGACTTTGATTCGTCAGGCTCACGCATCACTGGAGAACCCACAGTCGGTCTCTTCTCATCTGTACTTCTCCTTATGTCGATGCTCTTGGGCCTTGTATGGTGCAGGAAGGTATGAGTATGTGCTGGGGGCGACTTGGCTCGCTTATCCACAGTCTCCTTGGCCTCGCGATACTTATGCTTGATCCAACCTAACGGACCTTTCACATCGTCTTTTTCCCGCGTACCGCCCTCGTTTTCTGATAAGACTGCGGCAACATCAGCAACATCGCCAGTCCAGCTTTTGCGGGCGCGCTGACTACTCCCAACCGTTGTTGAACTGCTATTCTCCGCCTGGTTGTTGCTACCCAAATTCAGCCCCGAAAAGCCTGGCGCCATGTCTTCTCTGCGTCGGGACATACGCCAGCGCCGCTTCCTCTCTTTATCGTTACTATCCACGGGCGAGATAGCCGAGGGCTCCTCCAGCTGATCTACGTCGGAGCTCTCATTGAAGGAGGAGTGCAGTGACGTGCTTTGAGATTCCTTGGGCTGAAGTGGATCGTTACCATGGTCGGCGTTCATGGGAGGTGAAATTGCCGACGGCACTTGGGGCCCTTGGGACGACCCTTTGGGGGTGGGCTCGGAAGGACTTTCGATCGGATTCCCGCTTTCATTCTGGACGAGCTCCGGGTGGGGCTCGAGGGGAGAGATGGCCTGAATTGGATCAGGAACTTCAGCATTGGGCGACCCAACAGCTGAATGCGTCAACGAGGTGGTGGAACTGTGAGCGCTAGGGTTCGCGCTGCCGGGCAACCGTTTTTTGCGCAGCTTATTCGGTTGTCTCTTCTCGCTGTCCGAATTCGGCGAGCGTTGGAAAAGGCTCTGTAGATTCCTCTCCTTTGTCGGTGTCACGTTCTGAAGAGGGGGCCCTAGCAGTCTTTCCTGACTCCTACCCATCATGGATTGCCTGATTGTCGATTGGGATGCACCCGAGACCGGCATTATGGTCGGCGTTACCGGAGATCTGTCTGGCAAGGTTGACGTCTCCTCAACTACCGTTTGAGGAGCACCGGTGGTGGTGGTGGTAGTGGCGGCGGCAGGAGAGGGGGATGCAGGCGCCACCGCCACCACGGGTGAACGCTGACGGGATGGAAACCGTCCAGTCTGTAGCAGGGGCGACTTTTTAGATGGGACCGTGTTGCTCCTCCCCAGGCCACTACTGGGGGTGGCAACAGAAGGGCTACCGGGAGTCGAGGCTCCATTTGAGTAGCGCGAATGGCGCGACGAAGTCGACTGGTTCCTCCGCACCTTGCCTTCTCTGCTAACGCTCTCGGCCCCAGCGCTCGCATTTGACGCTGATCGTACGACGCCAGTTTTGCGGTTGGGTGTGCTGGGGGTCACGACTTGGGGTGGCGCTCCCTTCTCGATCTCCTGCTTCGTCTGCTCGTCGGTGCCGGTACCTTGCATGCCAATCAGGAAATGGTCCTGGTGCTCGATTAGGAAGATGATGACGCATTGGTTGAGACGGTATTCGCCGGGCGCCATGGCATGCATGGGATGAGACAGCATACCCGGCTGGAAAATGGCAGCCAGGTTTTGAGCTGTCATCCGATTCTCGTCGGCTTTGGCGGCAAATACGGCAAGCAAATCCAAGATGTAGAGCAGTAATTGGCGGTTGAGAGGCGGAAGCTCTTTGATCAACTGTTGATACTTGGCAATCGCCTCTTCCTCATCAAAGTCCTCTACGAGCTGTGTGCCCTCATTATCGCCCACAGCTTGTTTCGTATGGCCTCGCAGCGGTTCTCTGAAACTCTCGTATAGATCTAGAGGGACTACTGGCTCGGGTAGGTCGTTTAAATATCGTCGGAGGACATTTGCGGCATCGTGAACTGTGTACCCTTCCCATACTAGCCCTTTACCATATCGATCGGGTGAGTTAAATTGCAACTTGAGCTCCTTGATACGCTTCTCCGAGCCGTTCAGACGGAATATGCCCTCTACACTTGTGGCTGCAACGAACATTAGCAAGCAACATCCCACTTATGAAGACCAGTAAACAAGGGCCAGGATCGACAAACCTTTCTCTTTGAGATATACGCCACATTTAGCTACTACGATCGGTACGTATCCATAGATGTAGCTCTTTCCGTTCTCGTCGACCAACGAGATGGCGACATTGGCGTATGTGATACTCTGTCGGAGAGGGACGCCAAAAATACCTGCAGCTGGTGGTTCCTCTTGAATAAAAGTCAGCCAACTCGCTTTAGTCCACTGCGCGATAGTTCTCATGATGCTCTCTTTCCGACTTGAACAGTGTAACGGATTGCCCTGATGTCGACTAGGCAAAATCCCCTGTTATGTAGCATTCGACGGACTGACTCGCACACAACCGCGAGCGCCGCGCACCGCCACCGACCAAAAGTATATTAGGAAGTCAGGAACAGTGGGGAATCGGCACCGATAAGCGACATGAAGCCATGATGTACATGTAGCCATGCGATGGTATCAAAATAGACAGGACAGGACGAAATAGGCAGAAGTGCTCGTCGCTTACCTGGTGCGGGCTCTTGGTTTCTGCTCGGTTGAACTTGGAACTTCCTCCACCACGACTTGAGGTCGGCGCGTTTACTCGGCGGCGACACAGGTGTGGTGGGAAACCGGGATGATAGCTGTGGCGGACTCATTTGTCGATGCTGTTCGTTGGTCGGCTTAGATGGGGTGGCAGCGGACGTCATCGTCTCTTATGACGCGCTGACAACCGCAGGCGTAATTGGGGCCGTGGAAGTGCGATGTCACAATCGGTAGCGCATGCGATCGTGTGAATATCCCATCAAACTGTGTGATAGTAGAATGAGAAGTGGCCAAGTACTCGGTCGTCGCGGGGAATGGGCAAATCCGGGGGTTTGGGAGTCGGCGCGTTGCAAGATGTACGATGTATGCGCAAGGGGTCGAGAATCCGCAGGTTACGAGTGCTGGAGAGGATCGAACTGTTTACCAGACCCAGTTATAACGATAGTCAAGGGACGATAAAGGCGGCGACAAAGTATGGCTTAAACGACGAAACGAGTGGCGAGTATGGGAGTGATCGTCGAGAGATGAAGTTGTAAAATCAATTACCAACGGCGTTTAGCAACACAGAGCGGCACCCATTAAGATGTGGGAGAGGTTGCTGGAGACGAGGGGGATGGATAATGGGACGGAAGTGGTTGTACCTACCTTGGGTGTCAGAGAGGCAGTTATTAAACCTACCAAGAAGGGCCCGCGTTGAAACAACCTTGCTGTCTGCATGTGCGTGTACGAGTAGGCAGGCAGGTACCTCCAGACCTGTACCTACCTAGGAATAGGTAGTAGGGTGTAGGTACTGGCGCTGGTGCTGTCGCTGGCGCTTGTCTCTAGGGGTGGTGTGAGGCCTGGGCCCCCGAGCGGGCGTGGTCACTCGTCGGCGGAGTCTGACTGTTTCAGACAAGGCATGTAAGATTCACGAACGAATTAAACTAGAGACTAAAACAACTAACCTAATGTACCCTATTATCC